CCAAGTTCTACAAGACTTTTAAAGAAGAATTAACACCAATACTCCTCAAAGTATTCCATGAAATAGAAAAGGAGGGAACACTTCCAAACTTATTCTGTGAGGCTAATATCATCCTGATACCAAAACCAGACAAAGACACAACAAGGAAAGAAAACTTCAGACCAATATCCCCGATGAACATAGATGTAAAAATTCTCAATAAAATTCTGGCAAATTGAATACAAAAACATATTTAAAAGATAGTGCACCACAATCAAGAGGGATTCGTTCCAGGGATGCAGGGTTGGTTCAACATATGGAAATCAATAAATGTAATTCATCATATTAATAGACTTAAAAACAAGAATCATCTGATCATCTCAATAGATGCAGAAAAAGCATTTGACAAAATACAGCACACGTTCATGTTCAAAACACTAGAAAAACTAGGGATGGTAGGAACATACCTAAACATTATAAAAGCTGTATGTGCTAAACCCAAGACCAGCATAATTCTAAATGGAGAAAAATTGAAAGCATTCCTGCTAAAAACTGGAACAAGACAAGGATGTTCTCTTTCACCATTTTTATTCAACATCATTCTTGAAACTCTACCCAGAGTAATTAAACAAAAGAAATTAAAGGGATACACATAGGTAAAGGAGAACTCAAACCGGCAACGTTTGCTTATAATATGATTCTATATCTAGAAGATCCAAAAAATTCCACCAGAAAACTTCTATAACTAATAAATGAATTCAGCAAAGTAGCAAGATAGAAAATCAACACCCATAAATCAAACGTATGCCTATACATCAGTGATGAATCCACTGAAAGAAAAATTAGGAAAACTACTCCATTCATAATAGCCTTAAAAAAAACTTGGAAATCAATCTAACAAAAGGGGTGAAAGACCTCTATAGTGAAAACTACAGAACACTAAAGAAAGAAATTGAAGAAAATCTCAGAAGATGGAAAGATGTCTTATGCTTTTGGATAGGTGAAATTAATATTGTCAAAATGGCCATACTACCAAAAGCATTATACAGATTTAATGCAATTCCTATTAAAATACCAATGACATTCTTCTTAGAAATAGAAAAAGCAATCTTGAGGGCTGGGACTGTAGCTCAGTGGCAGAGCACTTGCCTAGCATGCATGAGGCACTGGGTTCGATCCTCAGCAACACATAAAAATAAACAAATAAAATAAAGGCAAACTGTCCATCTACAACTATAAAACTTTTTTTAAAAAAAGCAATCATGAGGGCTGGGGATGTGGCTCAAGCGGTAGCATGCTCGCCTACCATGTGTGAGGCACTGGGTTTGATTCTCAGCACCACATAAAAATGAAATAAAGATAAAGCAATCATGAAATTTATTTGGAAAAATAAGAGACCCAGAATAGATAAAGCAATCCTTAGCAAGAAAAGTGAATCAGGAGGCATCACAATACCAGACCTTAAACTATACAACAGAGCTATAATAACAAAAATAACATGGTATTGGCACCAAAATAGACTTATAGACCAATGGTATAGAATAGAAGACACAGAGACAAACCCACATAAATAATGTTATCTCATACTTGACAAGGGTGCCAAAAACATTCACTGGAGAAAAGTTAGCCTATTCAACAAATGGTGCTGGCAAAACTGGAAGTCCATATGTAGCAAAATGAAATTAAACCTCTATCTCTCATCCCGAACAAAAATCAACTCAAAGTGGATCAAAGACTTAGGCACTAAAACATAGACCCTGCACCTAATAGAAGAAAAAATAGGCCCAGGTCTTCACCACATCAGCCTAGGATCTGACTTCCTCAACAAGACTCCTAAAGCACAAGAGGTAAAATCAAGTATCAATAAATGGGATGTATTCAAATTAAAAAGCTCCTTCTCAGCAAAGAAAGCAATTAATAACTTGAAGGGAGAGCCTACAGATTGGGAGAAAATTCCTTCCACATGCACCTCCGATAAATCATTAATATCTAGGATATATTAAGAACTCAAAAAACTTAACACCCCCCAAAATAATATAATAACCCAATCAATAAATGAGCTAAAGAACTGAACAAACATTTCACAGGGAAGAAATACAGTTGATCAACAAATATATGAAACAGTGTTCAACATCTCTAGCAATTAGAGAAATTCAAATCAAAACTACTCTTAAGATTTCATCTCACTCCTGTGAGAATGGCAATCATCAAGAATACAGGCAACAATAAATGTTGACGAGGATGTGGTGAAAAAGGCACACTCATACATTGCTGGTGGGACTGCAAATTGGTGCAACCAATCTAGAAAGAAGTATGTAGATTCCTCAGAAAACTGGGAATGGAACCACCATTTGACCCAGCTATCCCACTCTGTGGTTTACACCCAAAGGATTTAAAATCAGCATATTATAGTGACACAGCCACATCAATGTTCATAGTAGATCAATTCACAATAGCTACGATTGGTCTACAAGTGTATTTTGGTGCCAATACCATGATATTTTTGTTACTATAGCTCTGTTGTATAGTTTAAGGTCTGATATTGTGATGATGCCTCCTGCTTCACTTTTCTTGCTAAGGATTGCTTTATCTATTTCTTATTTTTCCAAATAAATTTCATGATTGCTTTTTAACCTAGGTGTTCCTCAATAGATGAATGGGTAAAGAAAATGTGGTATATCTACCCAGTGGAATATTATTCAGCTTTTAAGAGTGAAATTATGGCATTTGCCAGTAAATGGTTGGAGTTGGAGAATATCATACTAAGGGAAATAAGCCAATCCCCACAAAACCAAAAGCTGAATGTTTTCTCTAATATGCGGATGCTAATTCACAATAAGGCAGGGGGTACTAGGGAAGAATAGCATTACCTTAGATTAGGTAGAGGGAAGTGTTGGGAGGAGAGGGGAGAGGAGGGAACTTGTATGCCAAATAACATTAGCCACCACAGAGATGCAAATCAAAATCACAATGATATCATTTCACCCCAATTAGAATGGCTATAATCAAAAAGACAAAGAATGACAAATGGTGACAAGGAAGCTGGAAAAATGGAACTCTGATACATGGTCGTGGGAGTGTAAATTAGTGCAGCCATTACAGAAAACAGTGGGAGATTTCTCAAAAAGATAAAAATTGAACTACCATGTGATCCCTCTTTCCTACTACTAAACATTTATCCAAAAGAAATGAAATCAGCATAACAAAGAGATACTTGCACTCCCAAGTTTATTGCTGTGCTATGAACAATAGCCAAGATATGGACTCAAGCAAGGTGTCTCTCAACAGAAGAATGGATAAAGGAAATATGATATCTACACAATGGAATGTTATTCAGCCACAAGAAGAATAAAATCCTGGCATTTGCAGCAACTGGCATGGAACTGGAGGGCACTGAATTAAGTGAAATCAATCAGTCACAGAAATACGAATTCCATGTTTTCTCTTTTTAAAATTTTTGTTCTTTTTAGTTATTCGTGACAATAGGGTATATTTTAACATATTTAGGCCAATATGGAGTACACTCTTATTCTAATTAGGATCCCAGTCTTGTGATTATACCTGAGATTCACTGTTGTGTATTTATATATGTATATAGGAAATTTAAGTCAGATACTTTCCATTGTCTTTCCTAATCCTGTTCCCCCCTTTCTCTTCATTCCCCTTTGTCTAATCTATTGAAATTCTATGCTTCTTCATCCCCCGTTTTTTGTGTGTTCGAATCTACATATCAGAAAGAACATTCGACCTGTGGTTTTTGGGAATTGGAATATTTCACTTAGCATAATAGTTTCCAGATCCATCCATTTACCTGAAAATGTCATGAAGTCATTCTTTTTATGACTGAGTGATATTCCATTGTGTATATAGACCACATTTTCTTTATCCATTCACCTGTTGAAGGGCACCTAGGTTGATTCCAAAGCTTAGCTCAATTGTGAATTGAACCACTATAAATATTGATGTGGCTACATCACTGTAGTATGCTGATTTTAAGTCCTTTAGTTATATACCCAGGAGTGGGATAACTGGGCCAAATGGTGGTTTCATTCCAAGTTTTTTGAGGGATCTCCATATTGATTTCCAGAGTAGCTGCACCTATTTGCAGTCCCACCAGCAATGTATGAGTGTGCCTTTTCTCCCACACCCTTGCCAACATTTATTGTTATTGTGTTACTTGTGTTACATTGTTGCCCTTCTGACTAGAGTGAGATGAAATCTCAGTGTAGTTTTGATTTGCATTTCTCTAGTTGCTAGTGATGTTGAACATTTTTTCATATATTTGTTGATCGACAGAATTTCTTCTTCTGTGCAGTGTCTGATCAGTTCTTTAGTCCATTTATTGATTACAGCTAAGATGTTGGTTTCATAGAAGTAGAGTGTAAAACAGTAGTCACTACAGGCTAGGAAGGATAGGGGGACGAGGGAAACTGAGGATGTCCCCAGGTCACAGCTGAGAAGGCTTCTGTGATCTGTTCCAACACCCCGCCTTGGCACCAAGACAAAAGGAAAGGAGTGTGAGGTCAGAGAGTGGTCAAGCGTCCTCGCTTACAGTACATGAAGAACATGACCAAAAAGGCTCCTGCAACAGAGGGGTTAAAAACCAGTGGGAGGTGTGTAAAAGCGGAAGGAAACCCTACCTGCTCCAGAAAAGTAAAGATAGCATGGGATGGAGAACAGTCACGCTCAGTTCAAAGGAGGGGCACCTAAGAATTCATTGATAATGTGCCAAGGAAGGGAGAAGCTACAGGAAAAGGCTTGTGAGCTGAAGCTAAGACTTCTCCCATCAGAGGCAGTAGGAGCTGGCAAATGTGCCCAAAGCCCACATGGGCATGCTCAGCCCCCTCGGGAAGTGGCCGAATGCTTCACGGAGCAATGCAAGACACTCATTCACCACAGCCCTGGACACCAGGCAGCACTAGCTACCCACGAGATAGATACTTTAGGTGCTCTGCAGTCTCATTGAGGGTCACTCACCATCTACTAAGAGAACTTGTCATTGGTGATTCTAAAGCACATACGCAGGTGCCGAATTTCTTGAGTGAACTCCAGGAACTCTCTGCCGGGGCAGTAGAGCAGCATTCAAAGCCATGACGTTTGGGAAGAGGCCCAGGGCACGGAGACCCCCACTTTAGACAGTGCTTTAGCAGAATAGCTATTTTTGAATGATAATCTTGTTTGATATTTAAAAAATAAAACTTAGTCAACGGAAAAGAGAAAGAAAAAATCAATGTTAAAGGAGATGGGAATGATAAGTATACCCTTATAGAATCAGTACACGCTGTATCCGTGTGCTGAAATATCACACTGTACTGTTACTGTGTACAAATAAAAAATAAACTCGCTTTCAAATTAAAAAAAAGAAAAAAACAGGGAAAGTGGTCAACAGATAAATGAGTAAATAAATATTTATGAGTGAAAGGAAGAGGAGGAAAATAGTATACGTATGACCCTTATCACTATCAGCTGACCAAAATTCCTATCCTCCACGGTGGATCTTTCATATTAACCAACTCTGGACTCTGAGGTCAAGCTCTGCCCTCTATTTTCTCCCTCCCACAGGTAGGAGGGATATATTTCCAGGCAGAGGCAAGTAGGTCAGGTGGGTGTTCAGTGACACTAAGAAACAGCAAATAATCTAGAAGCTGCTGCACCATGAGCGTCTCTGCACTGAGCTTCCTCAGACTCCAGGGCGGCATCTTTGGGTTCCTCCAGCTGGCCTCCCTGCTCTGCCTGCTTCTGCTGCTGTTCAAGGCAGCCCAGTTCTACCTGCGCAGGCAATGGCTGCTCAAAGCCATCCAGCAGTTCCCATCCCCACCCTCCCACTGGCTCTTTGGGCACAAGGTAGGAACAAGGAGGAAGGGGAGTAGGAGGGCAGGGAGGCCAGAGCTCTCAGAGCCTAGTCAACAAGTCCACAGAGCAAAGCCTCTTGTGTGACCAGCAGACATGGCCTCCAGGGAACACCTAGCTCACCTCTCAGGTGAGCTCATCCCTCACAAGAATCTTGTAATGCTGTTAACTCAGCTCTGTCACATGCTCCTTCCCTATGCAGATCTGCCATCTATCCTAGAAACTCTGTGGTTCCTTTCTGAGTCTCCTCTTCAGATTGAGCACCCTTAGTTCTCTCAACTATTCTCAAAGAATAAGGCTTCCCTGCCCCGGCCACTCAATGCTGTCCTCTGTACCTGGCCTGAGGTTGCCCGGGATCACAGACATTAGCGTTATGGAATCCCTGCCCTGTGGAGTTCTTGGTGTATGGTGACAATGGACATGAATCTCAGAATGTGTCTGTCCACAAGAAAGTAGTCATTCTTCTGTGATGGGTGAGTGATATCCAGAGGAGGGACAAACTGATTTGGTTTGCCTAAAACTAAGGAATTTTCCAGAATGGGTGATTTAGAACTGAAACCCTAACAGTGGTATGCATGAATGAGGGAGACAGGATGACCGGCAATTGAGTGGTACTAATTTTTTACTTATTCATTAAACATGACCTGTTAACCTCTCCAGTCTCCTCCCACACACCCTGACTGTGATATCCTTAGAACCAAGTCAATCATCCCCTCCCTGTACTACAAAGCCCTTCATAGCCTAGTATAGGTATGGAGTCACTAGGAGGAGAGAAAGGAGCAACTACTGGCAACCTTGGAGGTGAGGTACACAGAACTAGCCACTTTCTATGAGGATGCCAAATAATTATCAGCATATGGAGAACCAAATATAGGAACTATTAGAATTGGCCATAGAGAAATACTCAGTTTGATTATGCAAATTGCTATACTAATAACTTCTAGATTATTTGTTAATTTTGAAACATTGTGAACTTTAGTTTGATGTAGGTGTCATCAACTGAATGATGTTTTTTTTTTTTTCAGAACTAGCTGCTGATATGATGACCCATTAACGACTTCTCCAGGGAAATTTCCATTACACTGATATACGTTAGATTATTTGTAGACTTGACAAATAGATAACATCATTTACATAAATAATATTACAGTACTGAGTTACCTTTCAACTTGCGTTAGCTAATAACAGTTATAGAAAAATATTTCTAGTCTTATAGAGATTGTCATTTATTAACTAGCTCTGCTACCTAAGTTAGGAACTTGAATGCTATGTGTAGTTAGGTTTAACCAATGACAGTACCCAGAGCAGCATTAGCATGCACAGACTACCTTGGGTACCAAGCAATCCAAATGAATGCATAACAGTGCTGAACAGAGTCCCCCAGGTCCCTGCAGGGGACACAGCCATATAGCTGGAGGGTAAGGGCTCTCACTAACCAGGCTCTGAACTAGATTAAAGGACAAAAGAAGCTTCTATAAGGAAATGACAGGAGAATATAGAGTAGCCTTCTTCAGGAATTTAAGCAGGACAATTCTCAGTTCAAGTCAGGATTGACTGTCCCAGACTTACTCCACTAGAACATAAGCTACATGATAGCAGAAACTGTATTTGTTCACTGATTATCCCTAGCTCCAAGAAGGCAATTCATGCAAAGTAAGTTCTCATCAAGTAGTTATCCAATAAAAAAATGAGTGAATCCATTCTTCCTTCTACTTGTTCATATACTCACTTATTGACTGTAGAAAAAACATTTGCACACCTCTACCTATCTTCTACCTATCTCCCCCTTCTATTCCCCCAGTAGGTGAATCCTAAGAGCTTTCTGCAATGCTAGCCACACTTGAGAGGACTAGGTGGACCCTGTGGCTATATCATCACAATCAGATTTTCAGAAGAGGACTCAGCACACCACACAGACGTGACCTGTGGTAACATGGAGATTTGTCAGCACAGGAAGGGTAGCCCTGGTAACCATGTGAACCTCAGATGCACAAAAGCAAGGAATATTTCTGTTGGTTCATGGCTTTATCACGAGCTTCTAGAAAAGTCATGGAACACAGCAGGGCCTCAACAAATATTTGCCAGATGAATGAATGCAAGAGACTCAGAGGACTGGCAGCTACAGTCCCTAGTTCCATCCCTTCTCCGTGCTGGTTGTCCTGGTACTTGGACTTCACTCAGTACCTCAATGCCCAACCTTCTTTTTTTTTTCACGTGAGCATTTTTTTATTGGTTGTTTAAAACATTACAAAGCTCTTGACATATCATATTTCATGCATTAGATTCAAGTTGGTTATGAACTCCCAATTTTACCCCAAATACAGATTGCAGAATCACATCGGTTACACATCCACATTTTTACATAATGCCCTATTAGTAACTGTTGTATTCTGCTACCTTTCCTATCCTCTACTATCCCCCCTCCCTCCCCTCCCATCTTCTCTCTCTACCCCATCTACTGTAATTCATTTCTCTCCTTGATTATTTTCCCATTCCCCTCACAACCTCTTATATGTAATTTTGTATAACAATGAGGGTCTCCCTCCATTACCATGCAATTTCCGTTTTCTCTCCCTTTCCCTCCCACCTCATGTCTCTGTTTAATGTTAATCTTTTCTTCCTGCTCTTCCTCCCTGCTCTGTTATTAGTTGCTCTCATTATATCAAAGAAGACATTTGGTATTTGTTTTTTAGGGATTGGCTAGCTTCACTAAGCATAATCTGCTCTAGTGCCATCCATTTCCCTGCAAATTCCATGATTTTGTCATTTTTTAGTGCTGTGTAATACTCCATGGTATATAAATGCCACATTTTTTAATCCATTCATCTATTGAAGGGCATCTGAGTTGGTTCCACAGTCTAGCAATTGTGAATTGTGCTGCTATGAACATCGATGTGGCAGTATCCCTGTAGTAGCTCTTTTAAGGTCTTCAGGGAATAGTCCGAGAAGGGCAATAACTGGGTCAAATGGTGGTTCCATTCCCAGCTTTCCCAGGAATCTCCATACTGCTTTCCAAATTGGCCGCACCAGTTTGCAGTCCCACCAGCAATGTGCAAGAGTACCCTTTTCCCCACATCCTCACCAGCACTTGTTGTTGTTTGACTTCATAATGGCTGCCAATCTTACTGGAATGAGATGGTATCTAAGAGTTAATAACAAGAATCAACAAATGGGACTTACTTAAACTGAAAAGTTTTTTTCTCAGCAAGAGAAACAATAAGAGAGGTAAATAGGGAGCCTACACCCTGGGAACAAATTTTTACTCCTCACACTTCAGATAGAGCCCTAATATCCAGAGTATACAAAGAACTCAAAAAATTAGACAATAAGATAACAAATAACCCAATCAACAAATGGGCCAAGGACCTGAACAGACACTTCTCAGAGGAGGACATACAATCAATCAACAAGTACATGAAAAAATGCTCACCATCTCTAGCAGCCAACCTTCTTTTTTTTTCCTTTTTCTTTTTCTTACATTAGCCCAAGATTATACCTGTCCCTGGTAACAAGAATTCTAATGAAGACTCACCCATTCATTCTTCCATATGAACTCACTGATTCCTTCATGCACTTATTCATTTCTTCAAAAATAAGACATAATTACCACGAGCCATGCTGTATGATGGTCTCTGAAAACATGGAGATGACAGATATTGAAGCCAAATTTGTCAGCACAGGGCCTCGGATTAAAAGATTGAATTGAAATATGATAATAAATCGACACCCAAGAACTGTGGGAACAGAGGGAAAGGACACTCTGGGGTCAGCAGGTTTGGTTTTAATGCAATCACGTGGGCATATCATCTAATTTTGGTTTCCTCATTCTTGAGAATAAACCTAATATTCCTTCCCTGACCTCAGGAATGCCTTAAATGTTATATAATTGTCCCAGATTGGTAGGGCTCTATTACAAAGAACCACAGACTGAGAACACATACAACAGAAATGTATTATCCCCAGTTCACGGTGTTGACAAGGCTGTTTCCTTCATGGGCTCTGAAGGAGGTACTTGTTGCTGACCTGAGTCTTTGGCCATCTTCTCCCTATTTCCCTTCACATTGTCTTCTCTCTGCACATACTGCTGTATCCCAAATTCCTCTTTTTATAAGGACCACAGACATGCTGAATGAGGGCCCACCCCAATAAACTCACTTCACTTTGATTACCTCTATAAAAATCCTACATTCAACTAGCATCACTTTTTGAGGTATTAAGGGTTAGCACTTTAATGTATGAAAT